TCTTGGGAGACTGGTCTGGCAAATTTCGGCAACTAGGGAGTGCTGCAGAGTGATCCCCAGTACTTAGAATCCAGGCATCCTTGTCCAGACTTCTTAAAAGAAAAGGGCATCAAGGCCCTCACCTCTTTCTCCAAGAACCCAGGATCTAGGATGTTGACCAAGGAGACTGCAACCTAGAACGGAGAGGTTGCACTGATCCATAATCTACAGACTGACCTGCCTCTGAATCAGGCTGATGCTACTTTCCCGAGCTGAGTAGCCTGGGCATATGGTATCAGAACCTGTTTCTACATCTGTAATATTCTGCTTAAAGATACCTTAGAACCCTGCCTGGGGTATGGTAGGAAGGGCAATAGTGAAGCATTTCTTTAAAGTGTGTTTTGGAGTTACTCTATTTGATTAACAGGGTTAAAAGGGTTCCTTACTGTGGAATTTTGGTATGTTAACAGTTAATGTGGGCCATCTCCTAGTCGTCACAGGCAGAGTGCATTCTCCAGAACATACTTGGGGAAAGGATGTTCTAGCTCGAAATTCCTTTCTCCAACTCTATGCAGGAATAGCAAACCACGAAATCGTCCATCATTCCGACAGATCTTGCTACATCTAGATATTGCCTCAGCTGATGTGCTCTCCACACCCCAAGAAACTTACTTTAAGTCCCAGGTGAGCTATGGGTAGGAAAATGAATGCCTAACTGGCCCTCTTTGTGGAGGTAAGGGGGAGGTTGGGAAGGGTGGATTGGACATAGTAGTCCTCTTGTGAGGTCTAGGACCTCACCTTGGTTAGTCTTGTATCCCACTCCCTTCTGCTCCAACTCTCCTCCAGAGAATACAGGTCTATCCAGTGACGGAATGTGGTCCTCACCCCTCCTCATGTCTCTCCAACTCCAGGCAGAGTGGCGGGAAGAGGTAAAGCTGCACTTTGAAAAGATTAAATCAGAAGGAACCTGTTTACACCGCCTCGAAGAAGAGCTGGTGATGAGGAGGAGGGAAGAGCTCAGGTGCGTGCCAGTTTGGGGATGTGACTGGCCCTGCTGGTTCCCAAAGTAACAGGGCTTACAGCACCAAATGAGCTCAGCTCATCACAGGGGAACCCATCTGTTTCAGACATGCCTTGGACATCAGGGAGCACTATGAACGGAAGCTGGAGAGAGCCAACAACTTATACATGGAACTGAATGCCCTCATGCTGCAGCTAGAACTCAAGGAGCGTGAATTGCTAAGGTAACCCTCCATGCCTTTACATATCAAGTCCCAGGTCTTCATGGAACCACCTGACATGCATGATCCTTCTTGGTTATATACCTGAAACGGAGCCTGGATCTTTAGGCGGGAGCAAGCTTTAGAGCGCAGGTGCCCAGGACTACTGAAGTCACATCCATCACGGAGTCTCTTGCATGGGAACACGATGGAGAAGCTCATCAAGAAGAGGAATGTGCCACAGAAGCTGTCGCCCCATAGCAAAAGGTGGGTGGCAAATTAATGACTGAGGGTTGACTATGGCATGGGGAGGCTTAGAGGGAGACTTGTAATGTCATGTCCTGAGTTTAAGGAGTGCTGAGAAATTTTCTGTACTTTCCCTCTCTTACCAGGCCAGATATCCTCAAGACAGAATCTTTGCTACCTAAACTAGATGCAGCCCTAAGTGGGGTGGGGCTTCCTGGGTGTCCTAAGGGCCCCCCCTCACCAGGACGGAGCCGCCGTGGCAAGACCCGTCACCGCAAGGCTAGCGCCAAAGGCAGCTGTGGGGACCTGCCTGGCCTTCGTGCATCTGTGCCACCTCATGAACAAGGAGGCCTAGGAATGGGACCCTCAGTCTGGGAGGCATGCCCCCCTGCCCTACGTGGGCTCCACCATGACCTTCTGCTCCGCAAGATGTCATCTTCCTCCCCAGATCTGCTGTCAGCAGCATTAGGAGCCCGGGGCCGGGGGGCCACAGGGGGAGCTGGGGATCCTGGCTCACCACCTCCAGCCCGAGGTGATACTCCCCCAAGTGAGGGCTCAGCTCCTGGTTCCACCAGCCCAGATTCACCTGGGGGAGCCAAAGGAGAGCCACCTCCACCAGGACCTGGTGAAGGTGTGGGGCTGCTGGGAACTGGAAGGGAAGGGACAACGGGTCGGGGAAGCCGGGCTGGAGCCCAGCACTTGACACCAGCTGCACTGCTGTACAGGGCTGCGGTCACTCGAAGTCAGGTAAAGTAAATGGGAAGTTCTAGAACTTTCCCCTTATTGTGCTCGCCCGGGGGTCCAACTCTTGCCCCATATTAAATATATCATTATGCCACTCTTGCCCCATATTAAATATATCATTATGCCACTCCCTAAATAACTTGGTTTCCTTCTCCCCAATTAATGACCTCCTTCCCATTTTGACCAATCTCATCTTACCTACAGAAACGTGGCATATCATCAGAAGAGGAAGAAGGAGAGGTAGACAGTGAAGTAGAGCTGACCTCAACCCAGAGGTAAGAGTATAGGCCATCAAAGTCTCTTTTTTTTGGGGGGGGGAGGGGTATGAATTGCCAAAAAAGCCATAACCCCTACTCTTAATATGTAGGTGGCCTCAGGGCCTGAACATGCGCCAGTCACTGTCTACCTTCAGCTCAGAGAACCCATCAGATGGAGAGGAAGGCACAGCTAGCGAACCTTCTCCTAGTGGCACACCAGAAGTTGGTAGCACCAACACTGATGAGCGACCAGACGAACGGTCTGATGACATGTGCTCCCAGGGCTCAGAAATCCCACTGGACCCACCTGCTGCCGAGGTGCTCCCTGATCCTGAACCCAGCTCCTTGCCTCTCTCACACCAAGAACTACTCACAAGCAAGCAGGTAAGTCCAGAACCACCAGACAGCAAAAACTAGAAGCAGATTCTCCATGATTTTAATAGCTTTGGGGAGACAAGAGACACAGGCTAGAACCATGTTTAACTTCTAAGCCACTTCATTTTGGGGGGGGGGTCAGTTGTGGGGCTTGAACTCTGGGCCTGGGCACTGGCCCTGAGCATCTCAGCTCAGGGCAAGCACTCTACCACTTGAGCCACAGCATCACTTCTGGTTTTCTGGTGGTTCATTGGAGATTAGACTCTCATGGGAATTTTCCTACCCAGGCTGGCTTTGAACTGTTATCCCTGGATCTCAGCCTCCTGAGTAGCTAGGATTACAGGTGTGAGCCACCAGTACCCAGCTTTCCAAGTGCTGTTTTTTTTTGTTTTGTTTTGTTTTTTGAGTTGGTTGTGGGGCTTGAACTCTGGGCCTGAGCACTGTCCCTCAGCTCTTCAGCTCAAGTCTAGCACTCTACCACTTGAGCTACAGTGCCACTTCCGGTTTTCTGGTAGTTTATTGGAGATGAGTTTCACAGACTTTTCTGCCCGGGCTGGCTTTGAACCGTGATCCTCAGATCTCAGCCTCCTGAGTAGCTAGGATTACAGGGGTGAGCCACCGGCGCCCGGCTGCTGCTTCTTTTCTGAGCCAGTCTCCTACCCTACCAAAAAGTTACCAAAAAGCCACCTGGTTGAATTTGAGATTCCCATAGTCCAGAGCACTTATGTTAACTTGGCATTGAAACGATCAACTGTAGCTAGGCAAGAATCTTATAAGCTTGAGCCTGGTGTATTAGAGAACAGCCAGAACTGCAAACAGGGTTCAAAATAAAAGCAGTCCCAGTGAGGGACCTTGAAATGTCACGATATGCCACACCCCACCTCACTGCATTTCTACTTTTCTTCACAGGGCCCTCCTAATTCTGAGGACTCAGACTGTGACAGCACTGAATTGGACAACTCCAACAGCATTGATGCCTTGCGGCCCCCAGCTTCCCTCCCTCCATGAAAGCCACTCTTATTCCTTGTACATAGAAAAATATTTATATAAGTAATATATATGCGCCACATAATCAACAGAGAAAGATGGGGCTGTCCCAGCCTTAAATTAGGCTTGAAGGAGGCTCTCCTGACCAATTTACCTGATAAACTCTAGGGACACTGGCAGCTGTGGAAACAACTACTACCCTAGAACTGTGCATAAAGGGATACTGGACCCTTCTTGCTTTCTACCCCATTCCTCATGTTCAGCAAGCAAATAGGCAATAGAAGAGCCAGGCTTGTCTCTACACCCTCTGTCTGCAAACACTGGTGGGACAGAAGTGAATCATTTAGACTGCACTTTTCTGTTTTCCGTTTGCTCTGTTTACACATTTTTGCACTTGGGAGGAGGGAAACTAAGGCTGGGTCCTCCCCTCTGAGGTTTCTCAGGTGGCAATGTAACTTATTTCTTTGTCTCTCCATATCTCTGCCCAAGCCCCAGCTCAGGGACCAGGGAAAGTTAGGAAAATGAAAGCATGTAATGGCTCAGGCTGAAGAATTAGGGTGCTGTTTGAAGTCCCTGCTTTTATCCTGGTGCCTGATTGGGGAAGGGACTGTCATTGTAACCCCCGTGAACAACCTTGAAATATAACCACTCCGTGCAGGCCCATCTGTTGACAGTTTTTTTGGTGAATGGGGTATAATACATGGTTATTACTTTCTGCCTTTCCCAAGTTCATGTGTTACTCAACTGCTAGTTTAACCCAACTACTATTCTAATCCAACTACTAGTCTAAAAGTTTTGTCATATACAGTAGTAGGCACACTACTACATGATTTCAGTAGATCCTAAATAGTTGTCAAGAAAGGACTGCAGATGTACCATTAGAACAAGACACAAGTTTTAAAAGTATGCAGATGTGAACAAAGGGACTGACATCCCCAAGAAGCTAAGTCCTGATCAGATAGTGAGCGATATGTCATACATGTACAATCTCTTCCACTGTCCAGGAATGCCTGCCAGTTAAGTCAAAGGGTTAACCAAGTACTGGTTTATGGAAAAGAAGATTACGGACCAATAAAAAATATGGAGTGGCAGAATAGATGAAAATATCTTAAACCAGAAGTCTTCTATACAAAACCCAGTCCGGGGCCTGAGAGGAATAAAAGGTACAAAAATAACAGCAAGACAACAGGAATCAAACCCACATGAATCACTGTGGCATCCAGTTTCTATTCACAAAGAAAAAGCTCCAGTCCATCTTTTAATATTTTTTTGAAAAATTCCTGACATTACAGAACTAAACTGAAATGTATTAATATTCCACTCTTACATTTTCCATGACAAACAAAAATTCATGAGCCAAAAAAAAACCCACAAAAAAAGGGGGAAGCTTATAAAACTAAATATGATCTCAGCATTAACAGCTGAACAGAGAAAGGAATTAAAACGCTTTAATTAAAAAATCACGAGTGGATGATAAAGTGTGTAGAAACTGAAAATTTACAAACTATTTAAAACCTGGAATCGCTGACTGTTCAGAAACTACACAGATGGATCATGGGTGGTGGAGGTGAACAGCAGAAAAGGTTTATGGATGAGTCTGCATTGTTCTAGCTGCTCCCCATGCCACCCGTCTCCGAGGAAAGCCTGGAACACAGAAACAAACAAGAACTCAATGTTAGTTTTAACAGTGCCCAGTGGCACCTTACCTCTGGAACGTTAAGCTAGGCTGGTGAAATATGAAGTAGTATACACTCAGCATTTCAAGGTTTCTTGGATTAACAATAATCTAAGCTTTCTGAAGCACATTAAAAGCACCTTTACAACACTGACTCAAGCTATATTTTTCACAATCTCTGTTAAAAGAATTCTAGAGACAATGCCACTCACTAAAGTCAGCTATAGGGAGGATATGAAAACACAAAAGCAAACTTTCCCCACATCTCATTTTATCTCTGCATCTCATTTTATCTCTTGCTTGGTGGTACAGAAAATAGAGGTGGTACAGAAAATAGAAGTGAAAGGAACATTTATCTAGAAATAGCCTCAAGAATGTAAAGCTTATGAAATTCTAAGTTCTCAATCTACAATAGCCTTGGGCAACTATCAGTGTGAAGACTAAGAAAAGGTTACACAATTTTAAATGTTAAGGGATGTTAGAAGGAATAACATTTACAATGGGCCAAGGATTTTTTTTTTTGACCAGTCCTAGGGCCTGAACACTATCCTTGAGTTTCTTTTGCTCAAGACTAGCACTCTACTACTTGTGGCTTCTTCTGAGTATGTGGTACTGAGGAATCAAACCCAAGGCTTTATGCATGCTAAGCAAGCACTCTACCACTAAGCCACATTCCCAACCACAATCTTTTTTTTTTCCCCCAAAGCAAAGATATGATTCAATTCACTTTTTCACCTTTTTCTCTCCAGACAGGACTTAAGGCTAGACTGCTTACCCACTCAGCACTTAACAATACCTTCAGCCCCTTAGTTCACTTTTTTTTTTTTGGAGGGGCAGGGGGTCAGTTTTGGGCTTGAACTCTGCCCATGCTGTCCCTCAGCTCAAGGCTAGCTCTCTACCACTCAAGCCACAGCACCACTTCCAGTTTTTTGGTGGTTAAATGGAGATAGAATCTCCTGAGCCAGGCACCGGGGGCTCACACCTGTTACCCTAGCTACTCAGGAGGCTGAGATCTGAGGATCATGGTTGAAAGCCAGCCTAGGCAGGAAAGACCATGAGACTCCTATCTCCAATAAACTACCAGAAAACCGAAATGGTGTTGTAGCTCAAGTGGTAGAGCGCTCACCTTGAGCTGAGGGACAGTGCCCAGGCCCACAGTTCAAGCCCCATGACCGACCAATAAAAATCTCCTTAACTTTCCTTGCCCAGGCTGGCTTTGAGCCATGATCTTCAGATCTCAGCCTCCTGAGTAACTAGGATTATAGACGTGAGCCAACAGCACCTGGCTCCTTAGTTCACTCTAAAAACTCATAAATCTATGGCTGTCCTGTCAAGTTTTCCACTCACCTAACCTGGCTACAGGCCTGTCAGCTTCAAATAGGTGACCTACTTTTTGGTCCTGTACAAGGGCTTGAACTCTATGGGCCAATGTTCTCCCTCAGTTTTCCCCAACCAACTCATGGCTGGAGCTCTACCACTTGAGCCACATCTCCACTCCTAGCTATTAGCTCATATGTTTAAGAGTCTCACAGATTTGTCTGCCTTGAGTGGCTCCCAGGAAGCTAGGATTACAGGCATAAGCTACAGTACTTAACTCAGTTGGGCTCTGAGGGAAAGGTGATTTAGGAATTTAGTAAACGATACTGAATAAAATAAATTAAAAAAAAAACTATACTGATACAAGATTTAGCTCCCATTTTGAACTGAATCAAATGTTAAGTTATTTCACAAAATTTTAAGTTGTATCATTTAAAAAAAACAACTGCAACTGCTCTTAAAATTGCCTTTTCCCATAGGACCATATCATTCTGATTTGTGTTAATAAACAGGGTCAAGCCTATTGTGTGGATAGAAAAAATGAGTACTGGGGCTGGGAAGGT